ACGGCTCGGCCGGCTGCAGGATCGCCGGCTCGGCCCGCTCATAGCCGGCCTGGGCGAAGGATTGCAGGGGGGGGGGGGGGGGGGGGGCGGGGCCGGGCGGGGCGGGGCCAGGCGATGGTTTGGACATCCACCTTTTTGTCCTTGTTGCACTGTTGTTTTGACGGCCCGATCGTGTAGCCCGCTTTCGGTGTACGCCGTGATCGCAATGAAGCATTCCTGGGCGTTGATACTATTATCTGGTAGCGGGGGGGGAGATATATGCAGCGACAAGACAGGAATGTGAAAGGCCTCGCGGGGGTTGACTGCAGAAGGAGCAGGATATGAAGCATGATGGAGGAGGTGGGTGGTTGTCGTGGTCATGGAGACAGCACCATCTGTAACTGTGAGGCGTTTTGCTCGATGGGGTTTGCGGGCCTGCTCGGTCAGAGATGGCGTTAGTCGCGGCGTCCTCGTCAGCATTTTCTTTGACCTGGCTATCACACGTGTCAGCTATCTTTGGAGGAAATGATCATGGAGGAAAGCGACCAGAGCTGCGCGGGGGGAGGGGCGTCAACAGAAAAGGAAGGGGAGGAAGATTTGGTCAGCGGGCATGGTGGCTGCTTCGGGGAAGTAATTCTTTGACTGACCTTGTCGCTTGCGCCACCGTTTCAGATTTCTCCCGCCCAAACCCTTTTGTATTTCTGCTACTGTCCAGTGTGGTTTGTCCAGCCTTTCTGGTAGTTCAATCTCTTCTTTTTTCTCTCTCGTCGCTTCCTCCATCCCTTTCTTCTTCAGTTTGGCGCTCTTGTCCCGTCTCTTTCCGTTCTCCGACCTCGTGCCCTCCTCTCTTTCTGCTTTTTCTCGCCAGACTGCGTCGTGGGCCCTCCCAGCAACGGCACTGGGAGGTGGTGGCAGAAGGGAAGCGTGAATGAGGGCTTAGGCAGGCGTCTTGTTCTGCGAATGGAGCGAGTGGAGGGTGGGGATGGCGGCACGTTGGCAGCGATGGCATCGAAGGCGAAGCCACCGGTGGTTGGCGGGGAGTCGCTGTCCAGGGGGCCGGGAGGAGGAGGAGGAGGAGGAGGAGGGGGATTGTTGACTTTCGAGCCACCATTGAAGAAGCGGCGACGACAGGAGTTTCTCTCTCTCGAGCCGGCCGCGGCGCCAATTGCGGTTCCATCCGGCGGCGCGGTTTGTCCTTCCGCTGCCACTGAGGTTATCTCTGGGGTCCGTGATGCTGGAGGTAGCTCTGCGGTCCGTGATGCTGGAGGAAGCTCTGGGGTTCGGGATGTGGGAAGTAGCGCGGGCAGCGATGGCAGTGGGGGTTTAGCGGGAGTTCGGGCGGAGCCTGCTATGAAGACGGACTGCTCCAGCAGCAGCAGCAGCCATTTAGCGGGCAGCGATCATCCTCTGTCAAAAGCAGTGGCAGGGGCAAAGGCGGAGGAAGTGGGAGAGGGAGCAAGAACAAGTAATGATGTTGACAAGGGAAACGCCACGGTGGAAAATGGAGAAAGCGAGGGAGAAAGAACAAAGAGCCCGGCTGACAAGGACATAGCAATGAGCGGCGACGGCCCCGTAGGCGGGAATGAAGGCGAAGATGACAAAAAGAATGACAATGGCAGAGAGAGCCCGCAGTCTGCGCTCTCAGTTGATGAGAATAGAGTCGTTTCCTCGGCTTCTCCTCTAATAAGAACTAATCCTGCTAGCGATGCTCATTCTCTACAAGTCAATCGCACCCAATCTCTCTCTACTAGGGACGGAGCGCAGCGCGAAGAACAAGATCCTGCCTGTGCGACTGCGCGCCAGCGCTGTCACCTTCGGACTGAGCTGTCAAGCCGTGAGGCTAATCAGCTAGCCCACCACTCTCTCCCTCCCCCCACCACAGAGCATAAGACTCGTGACGGGCACGATCAGTCTTTTCCACGCGCACGGCAGCGTTCCAGTGCTGAGAACCAACGGTCACACGTTCCTTCCTTCATTGGGAGAAATACAATCAGCGAGCAGATTCGTACGTGTCCTCCCCATCCACGTCAGCAGCATTCATCTCACGATAAGCAACGTTCACGCCTTGAAGGTCAAGATCATCGGCATCAGTCCCCTCCGTCCATTTCATCTCCTCCTAGTCATCAGCAGCGACCTGATTCTCGCTCACCTGAACGGCAGGGTGAGAAAGAGATGGGGAAAGAAAAGCCACAGAAGCAGCGGAAAGAGGAGGAGGAGGAGGAGGAGGAGGCGGAGGCTCGAACGGGGACGATGGAGGCTGAGGAATCTGGAAGGACTGGCGAAGCAGCAGCGTTGGATGGCCCTCAGAGCTCCTCTAGTCAGAGGCTGACGGCGGGGAAACGAGGAATATCGGTTTCAGACGCAAGGACTGGAAATCCTCCACCTGGGGCAGTGGCCACGTCAAGTGCAATGGGGGATGAGCAAGGGGTTAAGGGCGGACGCTCACGAGAGTGCGGGCGACAAAGACATGCGGAGAAGGAGAGTAACACGGAGGAGATAAAAGCACTTTACAGGGTCTACATGCGTCTGAAAAAGGGCTTGGCGAGGAGAAGAGATGGTGTCATGGGAAGTCCTCGCGAAGTAGAAGAGTCGTTCTTAGCTATGGGCGAAGCAGCGTTGCATGGTAGGTTTATTCTTATGCCAATTATCGTTGGCTTCTCCTTCCCTCTCTGTCTTTTGACGTTTCTTCCGGACCTTACCGCCCTTTTCTCTCCATCTGCCGGATTCTCCCTCCCTTCTCCCTCCCTTCCTCTCTCTCCTTCGTTTTCCCTTTCCCCCCCTACCTGGCCTTTTGTTTCTTTCCCCGGTGCTTCCCCGTCGTCCGAGTATTGATCCCTCTTCGTCGCCTCCGCCACTGCTCTTTTCCCCCGCCCTTCCTCCTCCGCCTCTCCCCCTCTCATCCCCATCACCCTGTCCCTCTCTCCCCCTCCCTCCCCTTTGCCTCCCTCCTCCGCCTCCCTGCTTTGCCTCCCTGCTTTGCCTCCCTGCTCCGCCTCCGTGCTGCGCCTCCGTGCTGCGCCTCCGTGCTGCGCCTCCGTGCTGCGCCCCCCGCCCTCCGCATTCCCCCCCCCTTCCGCCCCGCGTCTTCTCCTCCCTCGGGCTCCTGGTCCCTCCTCTTTTCTCCCGCGGTCCATCCTTCTGTCTCTGGCTTCTCCCCTTCCGGCTCCCGATCTTTCCCTTCTGGCGCCCAATCCCTTCCCTTCCGGCTGCCGATCCCTCCCCTTCCGGCTCCCGCCCCATCTCCCTCTGGCTTTCCGCCTCCCGTCCGCCTCCTGGCGCCCTCCGCTCCAGCTTCCGCTTCCTTCCCTTTCGGCTTCGGTGAAGGAAGCGGAGAGGTAGGGCTTCGGCTTCCTCTCTCCTCGACTCTGGATTCTTTCTCGTTCAGCGTCGGTGTCCTCCCCGATCGGCTTCAGCTAGCTCCCCTTCCGGTTCTACTTGCTCTTCTGAGGCCTCGACTTTCTTTCCCTGCCGTCTGGGCCGCCTCTCTCTCCGGCGTGGGCTTCCTCCCTCTCCAGCCCGGGCCTCCTCCCTCTCCGACCTGAGCCTCCTCCCTCTTCTGCTTGGGGTTCGTCCTTCTTTGGTTTTGGCATCTCCTCCTTTGGCTCGTGCGTCCTCCCCCTCCAGCCTCCTCCTTTTCCTTCCCTTCAAGCTTCCCCCTCTGCGTCCTCCCTCCCTCCTAACCCTCCTACCCCTCCAGCCTCCTCCCCTTCCGTCCTCCTCCTCCTCCTCCGACCTCTTCCTCTTCAATCCTCCTCCCGCGGCCTTCTTTCCTTCCGGCCTCCTCCCCCGCCGGCTTCCTCGTCCTCGCAAAGCCTTCCCCCGTCACTTCCTCCTCCTCTCCTCCCCCCGCGTCTCATCCTGGCGCCCTCCCCCTCCCACGTCCTCCCCGGTTCTCCTCCCGCGTCTTGCTCTCCCAGTTTGTCCTCCCGCGTTCCCGTAGCGCCTTCGTCTCGCATTTCTTCCGCGCTTCCTCTTCCATGCTCTCTTCTCGCTCTTTGTCCTCTTCGTGCTCTCTCCTCGGCTGTCCTGTCCATGCCTCGTCCTCCTCGTGGTTAGTTCTCCGTATGCCCCCTAGCGCCTTCCTCTGATTCTTCTTCCTCGCGTTTCGTCCGTGCGTCATCGTCTTCGAATCCCCTCTTCACTCTTCCTCCTCCTCGCCTTTTGTCCTCTTCGCGGTTATTCCTTGTGCCTTTTCCCCCTGCCTCCCCTTTCCTCCGGTTCTCCTTTCCGTCCTCCCTTTCCCCTTCCAACTTCCTCCTCCCCTTTCTTCTCCCCTTTCTCCTCCTTCCCTCCTTTGACATCTCTCTCCACCTCCCCCTTCCCTCCTCCTCCTTCGCCCCCGTCCTTCCTCCTCCCCTTTCTCCTCCTCCCGTTCCGCCTTCTCCCTCCCCCGTTCTCCTCCTCCCGTTCCGCCTTCTCCCTCCCCCGTTCTCCTCCTCCCGTTCCGCCTTCTCCCTCCCCCTTTCTCCTTTTTCTTCTTTTGGTTGCTCCCCCTCGTCCTTCCTCCGTCTTTGTCTCCTCCCCCTATCGTCTCCTCCCATTCTTCTTTCGTCCCTTCCTGGTCTCCCACTCCTCACCGCCTTTTTTCCTCCTATTTCTCCCCTTGTTCTCACGTTCTCCTTCTGCTCCTTCTCCGCTTCCTCGCCCTCGCTGCTGCCATTTCTGTTTTCCCTTACCTGCTTGTCTTCGTTCGCTCTTGATTGCCCATCTTTTCTCTCTGTTCTATCTGCTCGCCACCCTCCCCCTCAACGGAAAGGCCCCTTTTCTCCTTCACCTTCTTGGCACTCCTCCCACCTCCCCTCCTCCCTCCTCCTTGTGCTTCACCGCCCTGCTTGTGCTTCACCCTACTCCGGCTTTACCCTGCTCCTCCCGCTTCGCCCTCTCCTCCCGTTCGCCCTCCTCGCCCCCTCTAGATGTGTATAAGAGACAGGTCTCACACTCTCTCTCTCTCTCTCTCTCTCTCTCTCTCTCTCTCTCTCTCTCTCTCTCTCTCTCTCTCTCTCTCTTGCACACACACACATACACGCACGCACACGCACACGCACACGCACATAAGCACATGCACTCTCTCTGTCTCTCTCTCTCTCTCTCTCTCACACACACACACACACACACACACTCACATACACACACACACACTCACATACACACGCACATACATTCTCATGTCTATTGATGGGGAGAGCCACCTGCTGGAAACTGGGTCAAGAGTCTCATGAACATCGTGAATAAAGCACCAACCGGGACCCCCCCCACACACTCTCTTCGAGTTGTGTATAGCGAACATGACAAAACATACATGCAACATAATCACTACCTTACCCTTCCCGAACCACATAAACAAACGAACTCCAGGCTGCGCACTCATGCCCTCACAATAAGTCAATGATTATATGTGCATTGCTTATAGGACACAAAGTGGGGAAAAAGCGGCACAACATTAGTTTGGTTTGATGGCAAGTTCCAGCTTGCTGAAATGGCATCTGAAACTCTCACTCACTCTCTCTCTCTCTCTCTCTCTGTGACGCAAAAAGGGAAAAAATGACCTCTTGGGCCATATTGGCATGGATTCTCCCTCCCTGGGGGCGTTGGACCGGTCCCCAGGTAGAAGTGGACCCCAAAAAGAAGTGAGGGCATGTGAACTGCAAAAGGGCCCACAAGCCCAGGCATTGAGCCCCGTCTTCTCAAAACAGGGAAGTCAGATACAATGAAATAGGCGTTTTGCAAGAGGCAACTTTGGCGATTTTTTGTGCTCAGACGAACATGCAAAAAAATTTGAAATTTTGAGAATCCATAAATGAGGTCGTGTTCTTTCCATAAAAAATAATAGAACATTTACAAAAAAATCATTTACACTGCGAAATAATCGTCGCGCCGATTCGGCACATTTTTCATTTTTGCCACTCAGCCATGCCTAGGCCAACTAAAAAAGTACTCCAAATTCAGTGAGTTTTCACGCTCAGAAGAATTAGTGAAAAAACCTGAAAATTGGAGTACTCGTAGATTTTGTTGTGATCTTTCCAGAAAAAACAGTAAATAAAATTAAAAAAAGTATTCCACCNCTCTCTCTCTCTCTCTCTCTCTCTCTCTCTCACACACACACACACACACACACACACACACACACACACACACACACACACACAATCAGTTCTTTGTCTGTCAGTCTGTTCTCCCCCTGATTTTGTCCAAGTATTTTTTTGTGTGCCCAACTGAGCACCCTCTAATAGTGCTAAACAGTCGGTGGTTCCTTCTGCACTCTTATGGAGGCCGCTCGGTTCGGGATGTCTGTGTCGCTTGTGGTTGATGACGGATGCTCGTCGGAGTGGCTCCCTGACTCAGTGGGGGTGGAAACCAACAGTCTGCAGGGTTCACCCGTGATGTGAGTAGGTCATGTGTTGCTTTGCTCCGTGTTGGATGTGTGGACGTCCTCGTCTCCGCTCTGCCGCGGTCTTGCTGCCCGTGCCGCTTGCTTTGCAGGTCATTTTTGGCAAGCTGCTGTCTTCGCTGTGTGGTGTGGCCAGGTTGTGGTGTTTCCTTGCGCTTCGCTGTTCCGCTGCCTCGCCGCCCTTCCGTTGGTCGTGCCTTCCGTGTCCTTTGCCTGCGCGCAGTGTAGTTCGACTGTCGTGTTGGTGTTGCCTTGTGCTTCACAGCATGGTTGCTCTGCTGCGTGTATGCTCACCTTGTCGTCCCTTGCAGTGTGGTTGTCTTGGTGGTGTTGCCTGGTGCTTCACTGCTTGGTTGCCTTGCTGCAAGTCCTGCGTGCCGTGTCTTTCCTTGCAGTCGTCTTTGGCGTTGTGCGGTTGAGTGGCTTCGGGTGTGTTGCCTGGTGCTTCACACGGGTGTCGCTCGCTGCTATGTTCCGCTTGTGGGCAGTCTGCCTTCAACAAGGGTCAAAGGGTTCATGACCCAAAACATCCAAAACCGGTACTCCGCAGATTGTCGAGGGTTTAGCCTCCTGATGAGTTGGTGCAATTCCGAGGAAACAATCATCATCAACTTCTATTTTTTTTAATCTTTCCTTTTTGTACTTGTATTTTTTTTAATCTTTTTTTCGTACTTGTATTTTTGGTTCCTGCTTTTCCCTTGTCTTTGTTTGCCTTGCGGTTATTCCCCCCACTGCCTTTTGCTGTTTGCCTTCCCATCTGCCTACCCCACGCCTTTCACCCGCCCCCCACTGCCTTTTGCTGTTTGCCTGCCCATCTGCCTACCCCACGCCTTTCACCCGATGTGCTCTGTTGCCTTGTGCTGTTTGCCTACCCACCCACCTCCCCCATGCCCTCCAGCCTATGTGCTTTGTTGCTTGGTGCTGTTTGCCTGCTGCGTTCTGCTTTTCTGCCCATCTGCCTCCCCCGTGCCCTGTGTCTTTTGTTGCACTGTCTTTCATACCTCGCTGCTTTGTGCTGTTTGTTTCCCCACCCACCTCCCTCGTGCCCTCTAGCCTGTGTCCTTTATTGTTTGTACTCTAACTGTTCAACTGTCAAACATTCAGTCCACTATAGAGTTTATGTCAGAATTGTCTTCAAGTTGTTTAGTGCATGGGTCTCTCCTGGGGTGTCGCCAGGCGGAGTACACTTGTTGTGTACTGGAGCTACGCCGAAGTGTGTTTACACACACAACACCACACACACACATACACACATACACACATACACAGACATACACGCATATGCACGCACACACACACACACACGCACACTCTCTCTCTCTCTCTCTCTCTCTCTCTCTCTCTCTCTCTCTCTCTCTCTCTCTCTCTCTCTC